GACCCGCACTATTTTGAGCAGCAGCCGTGGCCCAAGAGCAACATCACAGTGCCCAGCTCCAGCGTCCTTCCCGGCACATACCTTTTGGACAAGTCACCCGACTACTACGGCCCGATTGTCATCTCGCTTCGGAACGGCAGTTTGCACTTTGCCTATGGCGCCATCAGCGTCGACCTCATTGCGGTGAGCGACACCACGTTCATTTTGCCGTACGACCTCATGGCGGCAGAGCTCCGTCTTGCGTTCACCGTCCCGACGACGCCGGGGACCAAGCCAACACTCGACTTTTCCGGCTCGCCTGCGCACCAAGTGTAAACGCCCGCCTTTCATCGATCGCGGGCTGTTCGACGACGCGTCCTGTCGTCGTTTGAGCAAGACAGAGGGCACCAGAGTGTAGTAACCACGCTATACAACTCGTCATTTTGTTTTAACGTGGCACATGGCAGGGATGGAAGGTTCACGACGTCGCTTCGCAGAGCCTATAGAGGCCGTACGCGACTGCAAACCAAAAGAGACTCATCGCCACGTCCCACGGCGACCCGAGAAGCAGTCGCATCGCCGACCGGGCTGCAGCTTTGGGCTCCAGAAACACGAGGTACTCGACGCGCACGCCGCGTTGGTCGGTCAGCACATAGTACTTGGCGTCCGGCGTCGTGCCTGGCAGCGTCGTGAGCCGGTCGCGGTCCGTGAGCACTTGACAGACCGCAACGCAAATCGCATCGTTCGAGAGGATTTGGCTACAATCACATTCGTATCACTGAGACCAAGGACATGGCGTCTACCTGCGTGTCCACTGCTGGCTTGGCGTGCCGTAGGCAAAGTTCATGGCGACCTGCGCGCTCTGCGCAAAGTAGATGCCATCTCCAAACACGTTGCCAGAGCTCATGTGGCGCGTGCCACTCATGACGTGGAGGCCGTTCTGCAGGATCGAGTGAAAATGTACGAGCTTGCTGCCGTGAAAGCACTCTACACAGCGCACGCTCGAGCACAAGGCAGTCGAGAAGCATCATCGTACGCGCCACGCCGTGCTGCGCCGCCATCTCGTCAAACCACGGATCGTGGCTCTGGTGGACTTTGGCCACGAGCGCAATGTCCAGATCCCCATTCGCTATATGTGAGCCCATGAGCGTAGTCACTCGTGAAGCGGTGGCGCACCGAGGCAAAGCGACGCTGGCAGCGCGTCTTTGGTCACCTACACAAGCACACCTACAGCACCTGAACAACAGCCTACACGGAGCTACCAGTGATAGCGAGACGGGAAGCCGGCACCAGAGCCAATCGAGGAGAGCAAGTGTCGGGCGGGACAAGGTCGGTGCGCGGCCGCGTCAAGGCCACAATATCAACTTGATACATGCAAACGATCGTCATGGTATAGGATATCATCAAGGTTGGCGCGTTGGAGCTCGGGAAGCGATGGCACCTCGGACAACGTGTCCTTCTAGGCATCGTGAGGACTCTAAACCCAGCGAGGGGGATGCACCAGCGTGGCGAGGTGCATTTCGCCGTTGGGCTGCTTGAACATTGGCGGAGGTGGCGAGAGGCGGTTCGGACTCGTGGCCGCGGTTGCCAAGAGGCACAGCATGACGTCGCACGTAGCGGGCTGTGACGTGAGCCGCGCGGTGACACGGGCGATGGCCTTGGCGCGTCGCTCGTCGTTGCCGACGTCGGCGCGGACGTCGAGCACCGCTTGTTCGACGGCGTGCACAAACTGCAGCGCCAGGAACGGCGTCGACAGCTTGTCGTTGAGGATCGCGACTGCTGACGTGGCGGCCTACAAGAAAAGTAGCGTTGACATGCCGACGCACCAGGGCAGCGGCACCTCGGAGGCATCGTCGTTGGACGCGTAGCAATAGACAGTCTCGTCGGCCGCTATTTGCTATGTGAGTCAAATACTCGCCACATCCCATGCGACCTGGAAGGAAGAAGGCGAGGTCGTGCAGGTCGGGCAAGGCGTCGGCAACAGGTGCAAAGTTGACGGTCAATGTCAGCGTCGAGGCCTCGGCTGTCCATGCAGCGCGCTCCAAGCAGGCGGGCACGGTCAAATGGAGGTGCGAGGCTTCGATGATCGAGCTGTCCCAGTCCCCGCGCCGGCTCCGGCGGCAGTTGATGAGCGCCAGCACGAAGCTCACCTCGTTC